TGTTGTAAATACCGTCATAAATGACTTTTTTTTGCGTCGAGTTCCTTTAACGTCATCAACTAGTCGACGTTGACTCGACTATTATCATGTTAATGTTGACTTTAAAAATATGTAGTCGTTCAACCCCTAGTGTGTGTGTGTGTTTCATTGTGCTTCGTTTCCTCTCCTACCTGTGTTAACAGCCATTTCCTCCACCTATCAGCTGCTTCTCCTCAGTCCTGCCACGCCCACACCCTTTACCCTTTATTTATACAGGTAGTCTCATTGAGCCACGAGAACTCATTTTCAAGAGAGACCTGTTTAGAGAGCAGATGTGGGTTAAGGGCCTTGCTCATGGGCCCAGGGTGGGGCGAATGAGGATGGGAGCAGGTGTGGGTGCTTCGCCTACCCCACCCACAATTTTGATGTTGTCAGGGCCGGGGCGTGAACTGGCGATCTTCAGATCACAGGCCCAACTCTCTAACCTCTGCACCACCACTCCCCCTCATCAGCCTCAGTCCATTCATTCCCTCTGTCTACATTTACTCACCACTGTGTGTGCTTACACCATGTCCGATTCTCCTCAGTGGTTTTCACAATGTTCTACTAGAATGTTTTATTTTAAGTAGATTGTTGCCTTCTCAGCTTGTTTATTTATTATTTAATAAACCAGTAAAATAATGAGTAAATTGTAAACTTGTGTCCCCAGAGGAGCATTAAGCTGCAGCAAAGAGATCTGTTAAACACTGAAAATAGTGAAAATATAAGCTCTAAGATAAAAACCTGATGTGTTCTCACGCTGCCACTGACACATGCAAAACACACGTGACACCTTACAGCAAGTAAATAAGATTTAATAAAATCCATTTTATTGAACATTTTATCCTGGTTATTTCTTATAAAAGGCAGTTTTCTTTTGTTTACAAATTAGTGGACAAATTATATAAAAAAAGGCTTCAACATGGCTGCATATTTTCACTTTGGGCCTCAGTTTGCAGGTTGAGACTTGTCACAGTTGGCAATAAGAAGAAATATGTTTTAGTTTTTGACACCGTGTGAAGTGAGAAGTTGTAAACAGAGGAGACAAACGTGGGAACAGTTTCCACTTCCATTCATCCGAAGCTGCTGAAAAGCTGCAGAACGTTTTAAGTCATCAGTTTCAAAACATTATACTGATGAGCAAAAATCACATTGTAAGTTTTTTTTTAATTGTTAACAAGATTTGTCTAGAGTTGACTTTTTTAGGTTCAAAAAGTGTTCAATATAAAAACAACTGGACTTTATTTGTAACAGAAGACCTTTTTAGGTTTAAATTTAGTTTGAATTTAAGAAAGTTTTTTTTTTTTCCATGCAACCTCAATATTTGGTGCTGGTCATTTGCTGTATGTTTACATGCACAAAATTCTTTGATCGGATTGAAATGTTTTCAGATAAAATAATCCACATGTATCATTTACATGGCACAATCTGTTCACGACGAGCGTTTACATGCAGTGGGCTTTTATTCAGAATAGAAATACTGACATGCACAGAGTGGTAAACTTCTGTAACAAAACACAGAAGAAGTTCTGCTGGTACTTTAGAGTTGCATTTGGGCCTAATAAATCCAGCCCGGACCGAGCCCATAGTTGTTTTTTTCCTATGCCCTACCCGGACCCATTGGATTAACGGTAAGTAGAGGGCCAAAACCGAATAAAATAAAATAAATAAAACTTTTTGTATTTATTAAGCCTTTACTGCTTTTGTAACCAAATCAGTTTGACATGAAAGTCATAACATGAAACACAACTTATTTTAACTCTTTAAACCGACCGGTCGGACCTGCCTCCTCCTCAACAAGTACATTAACACAATTTCATATTGTGCATTCTGTTTTAGTTTTATTTGTGCGGTATGATTCGTAAAACCGCATCAAAGCCCAAGACCGGCCCGGACTGCACATTAATCACATTATAACGGCCCGGACGGGCCCTAATCCAGGTTGGTCCGGGCCATGTTTCGGGTTAGAAATGACAGCTCTATTCTACTTCCGTTCTACTTCCATGATGAACGTAAACAAACCCGAGCACCAATTTTGCTTCCCTGACATATTAGCATTAGCCAGGCGGAAATACAGTACATGAGGTTGACATAGGTCACACATGCGCAGTCTGGTCAGTTTTCCCCGATCAGAATAAAATTATCAGATTAAGTGTTTACATGCACACCCTTCGGATTATGAATCATTCGGATGACAAATTCATTTAGATCGAGCTGAGTCAACAAAGAATAATCCTAATGGGGCATTTACATGACGCATTTTTATTCCGAATGGCCGTTTAATCTGATTACTCGTGTCCATGTAAACATAGTTAATTTGTTCCTTCTCAGCAGTGATGACCCAGACTCTGGGCCTTTGGTCGGGGACTTCATTGAATGGTGCGAGTCCTATTTTTAAAGTTAAATGTTTCTAAGACAAAGGAGATGGTCATTGATTTTAGAAAAGACTCTTCAGTTGCAGCTCCTGTGGTCATTAATGGTGAAGCTGTTGAGGTGGTGCATCAAGATAAATATCTGGGAACTGTTCTTGATGACAAACTGACCTTTGACGCACATGTGAACTCACTTTGTAAGAAGACCCACCAGAGAATGTATTTTTATCAGAAGCTCTGTAGTTTTAATGTTGATTCTACTTTTATGAGAATGTTTTATTCATGTTTTATTGAGTCTTTTTTTTAAAAATTCACCTTCATATGTTGGTTTGGGAGTAGCACGGTGGCGCAACTGGTAGAGCTGCTGCCTCTCAGCGAGAAGGTCCTTGGTTCAAACCCCGGTCCAGGGGCCTTTCTGGGTGGAGTTTGCATGTTCTCTCCGTGCATGCGTGGGTTTTCTCCGGGTGCTCCGGTTTCCTCCCACAGACCAAAAAACATGCATGTTAGGCTGATTGGTAACTCTAAATAGTCCCTAGGTGTGAGTGAGAGAGTGAATGATTGTTTGTCTCGTTTGTCTCTATGTGGCCCTGTGATGGACTTGTGACCTGTCCAGGGTGTACCCCGCCCTTCGCACAGTGATTGCTGGACATGGGCACCAGCGACCCCCGTGACCCAAAATGGAATAAACGGGTAAAAGATAATGGATGGATGTTGGTTTGGACTTTTGACCTAAGAACTGGAACAAACTCTCGGGGATTGTCAGGATGTGCAGCAAAACTGCTGACATAGTCCTACAGAACCTCACTGACCTACACAAGTCGAGGTCAGTGAACAAGGCCAGGCTGATTCTGGCAGATCCTGATCATCCACTCCATGGTGAGTTCAGGTTGCTTCCATGTGGACGCAGGTTTCTGCAGCCCAGATTGTAGGCCGAACAGACTGAAAAACTCATTCATCCCTGTAAAGATCAGGCTTCTCAACGAACCGTGATGATTTCTGTTCTGTTATTTTAATGTCTTAATGTCTTGTCTAGTATGAATGTTTTATGTGCCTACTGACTGTGAAACAAATTACCCCTTGGCGATAATAAAGATTCTTGAACTTGAACAATAACTTGAGTTTATTTTAATACACCCTAATTTGAAACTGAAAGCAGCAAAATGTTTGATTTTCTACACATTTTATGGATTTGCGATGCCAATAGTATCACGGCCTCAGGTGGATGGGCCTATAATGCAGACTGACTCGAGGAGTTTAAAAGGTAAACGTATTTTAATAACAAACAAAAAGTGCTGACATGGCAGCAAACTTACATTATCTCAGATGGAAAACCCAATGGAAGGACCGGGATTGTGGCAGAAGACCAACAATGCAGAACTGGTGAATGGTGACAGAGACTGAACAAATACAGTATATAATACTGCAAGTTGTACTCAACAAATTTGGGTGTAAATATGTACTAAAACATAAAATCTGTCTGTCTTCTTCATTTCAAAAGACTCCCCCATGAACATCACCATTACTGACCTCTTTTTGATCACTTCAGCTGTTTCCGTAGGTAAATAAACACATGGTAGTTGGCATCCAGTCACAGATTTTTGATTTAAGGACACATTAACCAGTGATGTGCAAATAAGTGTACTTACGTTGCTTCTTTCTTTATTTATTCCTAGTTTATATTTTAGACTGGTCATCATAGTTTTTACCGAGTATCTTTGTCTGGTTCACCTCCTGAGGGCCGTTTCAGGCAAAACGTTATTTTCCCACAACAGCTGGCAGTGTTTCCTCTACCATTATCCAAGAGGGTTGCCAGTCCCGCCAAGAAGATCATGGCATGTAATAAATTAAAAACATCTGTACGTGTTCACACGTGATCATTTCACAAACAGAGAGTTTACACGCCTGAAGAAATGTTGCAATCAACTCAAAAGAAACAAAAAAATACAAATAAAAAATGTCATGACAACAATGGCCGCCAAATGAGCTCTCCTGTTACGGGTCCAAGTGAAAATCATATCACAGGTCCCCCAAACAAACAGCAGGAGAGAGAACGAGCTAGACAGACAGACAGACAGACAGACAGACACATAGATAACTAAGAGGGGATTATTAGGACTGTCCTGTTGAATATGCAGCCAGCATAAACAGACGTTTGTGAGAGGAAACCATACCCAGTTATTTATAGTCTTCTGCCAGACCTGTACAAAGGACAAACTTGACAAACATCTGAGCAACATAGAATAACTGTCAGCATCAGGGAAGTTGGACCACAAGTAAAATGGCTTGTCTTATTTTGATTTAATTGATACCATATTTGACTCTTTAATGTGATGATGACTTTATTTCAGACATTAGCCTTAGATTGTTTGAGCCCATAGTTGTCCTTGAGCACAATGCTGCTTTGGGGGATTTATCAAAGTCACCATTCATTCATGTATTTTAATTTACCATTCATGCTGTTATTCAAATGTTAAACTTATTGCTGGTATTAAAAGCAGAACATAAAACTTGAATTCCTTGCAAGTGTGCAAGTTGGGCTAAAGTTGCATGCTGTCATACAGTTACACTTCTGTCGTGGCTGGTCTAGGATCAGTTTGTGTCGAACGGTACCTGAAGCAGACAGTGTGCCAGTCGGCGCTCAGAGCCTGGAGGTACTGCTCGTCATAGATCCTCTCTTTGCATCCCGCGCACTCGGGCACACTTTCTCCAGCTGTAACGACACGTGACACCCAGCATGAACACACGGGGCTGATGGGAAACTTTTCACAAGCCTTCATGACAACGAGGTGTTTGTGTCTGTGTTTGCATGAGACCGTTATCTCCCATTTCTGTGTGAAGCCTGGTTTATATTTAAGCTGAAACACAACAAACAGCTCCTTCGACTTCCTGTCATTACTGACAAAGCTGCAAAACTCACTACATTAGTTAACAAAACTTTGTTTAAACACAAAATACTTACCCAAAACTTTTTTCAACATCTTAACCCAGTCTTTCTGTTTGATGAGAACACATTATACTCAATGGTGTAAAACTATTCAAACTGCAGTACTAAATAGATGTTTACTACAATTATTTCAGATTTTTTTTTTTGCTAGGTTGGTAAATTTTGTATTAAACCTTGAACATGCTAGTAACATCTGTTTAATTATTTATGTATTTTAGGAATAAACAGGCTGTAAATTCATCCTTCACTTATATTCTAACAAGCATTAGAATAACTAAACCTCACTGATAAGAGCGGCCTCCATCAGACTGTTAATAGCTGCAGATTACAGCAGATTCCTCCGCTCTAACGAGGGGAATATTCAGTTAAAAAAAAACAACAACAAAAAACAGTTTGGTCGAGTTGGGATGAGGAATTCTGCGACGCTTCAAAGAAAAGGCAGCAGTGACTGCTCGTTCTCTGTGGATGACAACTTGGCAGCAGCTGCATAGTTTCAGGAGACGTCAGGATACAGACCTTTTAGTTTCTGCAGCTTCACAAAGAAGCTACTCTGAGACACAGCAACAGGAATCCTGTTTTTGTCTGCAAAAAATTAAAATGCTTATTTCTCCTGTTTATTGAATAGCCAATGCTGTCTATGAATTTTATTTCTCAAAACCAGTAAACAACTTTTAGCTCACTCCTTGAAAAGGCAAAACCATCTTACATGAAACTTTAGTATCTCATTTGTGTAACAGGGCAGTTCAAATCTTTAGAAGTGGGGTTCTGTGGAAAGGTTATGAACATTTACTGTCTAACCTGTTGTAGATAAGTTTCTGACCACCTTCCGTTTGGAGAAATAGCATTAAATTCTGACTTTGATGAGCTTCTGACTAGTCCAAACAGGGCTAAAACCACAGTTGTTGCCATTTAAAAATAATCCCTGTCTCAATGTTATAGCAGCTCAAATAAACACTATTTTATGGTTCTATACATTACCATCAAATTTGCACTACATTGTTAATTACATGGAGTTCTGTGAATATTTGCAAACACAAACAGCAGCAGCTAGCTGTGACACATTTGGTGCAGCCTGGAGCCCTTCTAGCAGGAATAGCATAATATTTCTAGGGGTGAGACAATAAAATATGTTAGATGCATCGCATGAAAGATCGATGTTCAAAAGTCAAAAACCGATTTAGTTAATGTTGATCTGTACTGGCATTTTAAGAGAGTCAGCATAATAGCTGCTGCACCTAGAAGACACATTTTACAGTAAAGCCGAGCGTTTTCACATCTTTTTCATCTTAACTTGGCCAAAACAATCATAAAACATGTCTGTAAATACTAGCTGAAGGTATCATAACATTGTAATGATGACTTTAGACATTTTTAAGTATTAGGTTAGCATCTATGCTAACTGTTAGCTAGCTTCCTTTATTAATATGGTTTAATGAAATAAGTTGTGAACTCTTTACTGGGCATGAATATATATATATATAAATCTGTGTTTGTGTAAAGTAAAACATATTAATTTAGGTTTCAAGATAATTGAAATACATCAATAATTGTTTTATAATCACAATGCCACCCTCTGAGTCATAATTAAATTGAATCATAACTTGCCTAAAGAGTCCCACTCCTAAATATTTCTAACAAATTAACCGTGTAATGTGAAGCTGATGTAATGGTGATGACTTAATAAATAAAAGTTCACACAAACAGCAATCAAATATTTGAGAATAAAGTTGTTTTAAGAGCAGACATCACTTTGGTATTGGCCACACTCAAACTAGTCAGAATTTAATTATTTCTCCAAACTGAATTTGTTCAAAAAGCTATCTACAACAGGTAAGATATTAATAGTTTTTTCCACATAAGTGCACTCAAAAGGTTTAGTTTTACTCATAATTTAGGCTGTGCACAAAACCAAACTCTGATCAGTTCAAATTTACACGGCTGTAGCTGCAAACGTGCTGCAGCAGAATATATGAATATTAATGTCCGTGTATTGGCAGTGGGTTTTTTTTTCTGTACTGAGTGAGTATTTCTCCCTCTTTGGTTGGCATCAGCAACTGTGTTAAAGGCAAACAGAGACACACCTGCATTCCTCCACGGACTGTGTAACCTGTTCAGGTGACAGAGCACAGAGCCCATGGTTACTCATTTCACACTGATACTTCCTTCAAATGGCGTAGAGCCACTGCAGCGCAAAGTTACGCATCAAACAAAACCTCTATTGATCTTCTCAGTGGACCTGTCGGACACCTGCAGGATGTTCACACAGTCCTGAGGAAGGATGCATATAAGATGGAAATCTATATCTGATTTTGTTGATATCTATCTGATATCTGATTCACAGTTCCAGGAACTCGTCTTAAGCGCAGAGGTGACAGGGCCTTCTCTGTAGCAGGACCAAGACTCTGGAATGAGTTACCTCTGCTTGTCAGACAGGCCCCCTCCCTCTTGGTTTTCAAGTCCCGTTTAAAAACTCACTACTATTCAGTAGCTTTCAACACAAGATGATCTGTGTTTTGATCCTGTATGCTCCACACTGGTTTGTCGTCATTATCTGCATCGTTTTTATGTCTATATTCTGATTTACCTCATTTTGTATTTTGCTTTGTGTGTTACCTGTTGTTTTGTCTGTACAGCACTTTGGTTGGCCTTGTAGCTGTTTTAAGTGCTTTATAAATAAAGTGGTATGGTATGTATGGTATTTTAACCAAATATACAAATAGGATTCATTGGTTTAGACCAAGTATGTCCAATCCAAATTTTTAAAAAAGTTCAGTTAGTGCAAGATTTTATTCAGTTAAATATATAAGGTTGTACAAAAAAAAGAAGAAAAAAAAAGAACTGTAACTCTTGTTAGATACTGTGCATAGAACTGCACAAGTTTTAAAACATTCCTAATTCATTTTTATTTTTTATTTCAAGTAGAAGACTTTATTTTATTCCGTTAATGTGATTTTGATTATTATTTCTCCAAACTTTCTGAAGGTCGTTCAAAGATTTTTTTTAATGACTTTAGCAGGTTTTCACTTATTCTCTGCCTTGTATCTGACCAAGTATTACACAGTATAATGAAGAAAAGAGACAAGCGGAGGACAATAAAAAGGCTAGGTTTTAAAAACTATCTACAGCAGATGAACAGACAATTTGAAAGTCACGTCTTTATGAAAATAGGAAAATGAAAAAAAAAAGAAATAGATCTGAATACCAAGTTTAACAACTCGTTACTGCTAAAGTCCAATCTTATGTGTCAAACTGTGTTATTTTTGGTGTTTTACATATATTTAACTATGGAAATGGAAACAAATTGTACCTTTGCATCAGGCTGCTGGTAAAATAAAAAGTAGCTAGACATTTAATACCTAGTTGCTAGTAATGAGCTAACAAATTGTGTTATCTGGTATTCATAAATAACATAAAAATTATGGGAACAAATTTTATTTTTGTGATAGACTGCAAGAAACAAAATAACTAGAAAACTACCGTACTCACTAGGTACTTAGTATTATTGCTAGTAACTAGCTAAGCTGTTATCCGGTACTTTTCATAGATTTGCTACAAAAATGGAAACAAATTGTAGAGTATCACACTTCTGGTAATAAAGTAACTAGCTAGCAAGTTGCAACTTACTCATTAAATACCTAGCTTGTGCTGTTGCTAGTAATTACCAAACAATAACCGTTATCTGGTATTCCTTATTGACGAAATTAAAAATAATAAGAACAAGTAATGCTATCTTTTTTAGACTGTTGTCAACAATGCAAATATCCAGTAAATTACTTGTTAGATGCTTTTAGTTGTAGCTAGGTACAACAATTAGCTTGTAACTACAACAGTAGTTACTAACTTCTAGAAAAATATGGGCTAAAACAAACTTATCTGGTGTTTTTCAGAAACTTATTGTATGAACTGGTAACATGTTTTAACTAAATCTGTGTTGGACTGCTCCTAACAAAATAATTAGGTTGCAAGTTACTCCCACTTCTGACACCAGTGTTAGGTTGTCACGGTCACTCAAGCACCAGACGCTTTGCTCTTGCCAACGATATATTCAGGTACAATAATTAAAGGTCAGCTAGCTCCAAGTCACTGTTCCACCAAAACCCACGCAGAGCTCCTGGGCTTCACTCAACAGGTACCTCCAGAACCATCATCACACAGATGAAGAAGAAAAACCACACCCCGTACTCATTTCCCAAAACCCTTGCTGCACAAGCAGAACATGTCATACATAAAAACCAGTAACAGTGCAGCTGGAAACTTCTTAAGTATCATTATACTAGTACAAAGTACATATTAGCAACAATATAATTGCAATGTTTTCAAATTGTGTTTTTTGGTATTCTAGAAATGGGAACAACTAAGATGTTTGCGTAATATCGCTAAAATTAGAAACATCTTATCTAAAAATGATGCAGAAAAACTGGTTCATGCATTTGTCACGTCTAGACTGGACTATTGCAATGGTTTATTATCTGGGTGTCCAAATACTTCCTTAAAACGTCTTCAGTTGATCCAAAATGCTGCTGCCAGAGTCTTCACTGGAGTTAGTGGGAGAGATCATATCTCTCCAGTTTTAGCTTCTCTCCATTGGCTCCCTGTCAAATCCAGAATAGAATTCAAAATCTTACTTCTAACCTACAAAGCTCTCAACAACCTAGCTCCATCTTATATTACAGATCTTATTGTTCCATATTTTCCTAACAGAGCACTTCGCTCTCAGACTGCAGGTTTACTTGTGGTTCCTATAGAATTTACACAAACAGAATGGGAGGAAGATCATTCAGTTATCAGGCTCCTCTCTTGTGGAACCAACTTCCAATCTCTGTCCGTGAGGCTGACACATTATCCAGTTTTAAAACTAGGCTTAAGACTTTCCTTTTTGCTAAATCCTATTGTTAGGGTCGGCTTGGGTTTCCTGAGCTGTCCCTTAGTTATGCTGCTATAGGCTTAGACTGCTGGAGGACAAACTGACCACACTTTTCACTCTACTTCTGTCTTTACTTACTCTGCTCAACCTGTTTTGTATTTGTAATTATTTTTTTCTATCCTTAACATGTTTTTTTTTTGTCTTTCAGATACACCTGGACCTACCATTCTATGTTCATCTGTCTCTCCTTCCTGTCCTCTCAACCAGCCGGTCAAAGCAGATGGCCGCTTGTCCTGAGCCTGGTTCTGCTGGAGGTTTATTCCTTTTAAAAGGGAGTTTTTCCTTTCCACTGTTGCCTCTGTGCTTGCTCAGGATGGGAGACTGCAACAAAGCCAAGATTCAACTTGTCTGCTGGATTCCTTAGATAGAGAACTTTACTAATTGGCTTTTATGTGAATGTTCCTGTAAAGTGCCCTGAGACAACTTTGTTGTGATTTGGCGCTATATAAATAAACTGAATAGAATTGAATTGAATGTTTGTAACATGTTGATAATAACAAAATGCCCAAGAATGTATTTGTTTTTTGAGTTGTCCATGTACACACATCAATGATTCTTTTGAGTTGTCTGAATAAATCATTTAAGTGGCTTAACAAACAACAATACTCTGAAAAGGATACAATAATGGAAAGAAATAAGAAAAAGATTTAATATAAATAAAAACTTTGACCTTAGGAATGCCTGAACTATTGCTCAAAATCACTAATAAAGAAAGTCGGGGACTTTTGCACAATATTTATTTAGAGAAAGGTTAAAAGTAAACTCTGAATTTAGCTGTTTTATGGATTTTATTTAAATTAAATGCTCCTTAAACATTAGACTGGCTGTATGTAGAGAGGATGGATGTCATCACTGCATGCAAACAGTGAATGCATCATTTGGGGAAACCATGGCTTCAGTGGCGGTGCATGCACAGCCTGAAGCTTCCTGCAGATAACCCCGACACCGCTGCTATCTCTTCCTCAGACGTCAAGCAAAACGAGAAAACTGAGCAAAACAACTGCCTTTACTGCCACTTTTTATTGCGCATCGCCGTGTTTTCATGACGCACCGCCCGCCCCGGCGGCTGCAAACACCCAAACAAGCAGCCCCGCAGTCCCTCACCTTCCTCCTCTCCCATGCGTTCGTCCTTCCAGGTGCAGCAAAGCAGCATCAACCTCATCCAGTCTCCGACACCGAGCTCCGGGGAGAGCCAGCCGCCTCTAGTCGACAGGAAACCGGTGTCCGACCACCGGCGGTCGAGTCGCTGCGCCTCGGGCTCCTGCGGTGGTCCGCACGTTTCAGCGGGGCTTCAGTCAACACCGCCGCCGACCAATGAGGTCTCTGAGCCGGGCAGAGGAAGACACGGGCTGGCCAACCACGAACACGCCCCAATTAATGAATTCATCATTTTATCTCCACTCGGAGGAGGAGGAGAACAGAGAGCCTCCACCCACAGCCAGAAAAGCACCAAGTATTTCAGGAAAATGTCGAGAGACTAAAAAAAACAGAGACCAAAATATAATTTAAAGAGCCATTGATGTGTGCTGTTTGTGTGGATGTGCGCATGACAAACATGCAAAAGTGAACATTTTCCATTTGGTCGCACTTGTTTGAATATGTAGCAGAGGAATATTACATTTCCTGCTCTTGTTTTCGGCACCTGAACGCAGCACAGTCACAGGAAGCTGGTTTAACTGTTTTGGCACCAAGTTTCAAAGTTTGTTTGTTTTCTTCTGGATTTTTGTTGTTGTTAGGAATGGTAGGATCTGGTACCCAGCCTGGGTCTGCTCCACAGAGACACTGGTGTGGGACATCATGAGACCAGCAGATGGAACAACATGGTAAGCTATATTTTGCAGGATGTGGATCTTGGGTCAGTGGTTCTCCCAGGAGAACACAAGAGAACAGCTTGTGTTCATTATTTCCATCTGGGACAGAGGCTGGCAGAATGTCCGCCCTTTGTTATTTGGTTATGTTGAAGTCAGCACACATATCAGACTTTAACACTAAATACATTATTTTTTTTATTTAAGGCAGAAAAAGCTGAATCACCTCTCAGCTGGTTTTTAATCCAGCTGCTCCTGCTGGTGATGCTTTTAAATGCATGTGAAGAAATAAACAGGAAACACTTTTTCTTTTTTTTAAACAATTTATTTTGTTATTTGTTGGAAGTAAATAAATTGCCAGGATATCTGGGGAACGAAGTCACGTGTCGTGGAACATTAAAAAAAAAAGTGCAAAACCACACAGTTCTTCCTTCTAGAAACAGTTTTAAATAAAGATGAAGCATCTTCCACGCCACACACGACCCACTCTGACCCGGCGAGGCTCAAAAACAGTTCTCACGCAGCACCGAGTGAAGAAACTGAAGCCAGCTGAAAACCAGATTAGTTGAAAATACAGTACAAAGTTACACGGAGAGATGCGGTCACATGGCAAACAACGCTCAGACACCTTTGGTCAGTAAAGCTTTGGTAAAAGCAGCTCAAGTAAATGAACAGGAGGACTTTATGCCTCACATAAACACATTAAACACAGCATTAATACAAATAATAACACTGAATAAATGCAGGAGTCTTCTGGATTTATGTTCACACTTTCCTGGTAAAAAAAGCTATGAGTCAAAGAATGCTGCAACAAAATAAATTGAATAATCTTGTAATGACAAGTTACAATTAAAATAATTGAGACTAAACATTAGAAGCAAACAGAAGGGCTCTGTTTAGCCCACCTATGTACACACCAGAGTCTAACAGAGTCCGATTTCAACTAGATGTTCTGTATTTTTCATCATTTTTGATTGTCTTTAGATTCAAAGAGCAGGAAAAAAAAAAAGAAAACTGGCAACGTTAAAAAATGCAGAGACACCCGAACTGCACAGCAACTAGAATCAGCACAGTCACAGAGAGCAGATGGGTTGGCCGGAGCCCTGCAGCTCCTGCTCATTTACTCCCAACAGGCCTAAAAATAGAGTCAGAGAAAACGCAGAGCCTGATTTGATCAGTTTTTGTTTGTTCTTTTGGACCAACCCACGCCCTCTGGGACAAAACTGCAAGGTGATGAGCTCTGTGCAGCCAGGTGAGACAGATCGTCTTGTTTTAGGGATTAAAACCAAAAGAAAAGTCTTATTTTACGACAGCTGACGGCTTCTCTACAACAACACACACACACTCAAACGCAGCAACAGAAAGTGGCACAAACACACTTTATATCTCAGGTCGGCTGGCGGAGTACAACGAGTTAAAGCTGATTAACTTGAACGCGTCAATGATTCAAAGGCACAATCATTAACATGCGTCACATCAGAGCGTGTACAAAATTCTGGGTCGGTGGGTTTGTATAAAAACAGACACTGAAGTCAAGTAACAAACATTACAGGTCGTCTAATGGGGCTTGGTTCTTGTATAAAATGTACATTCTCGATCATGCAGTAGCACCATGGTTTGTTGAGGTCACTGGATCTGCAGAGATCCTCTACTTCCTCCTGCCACAGTATTTCCCCTGGCATCTTGCAATGCCACCTGCAGGAAGCAGCACAGAAAATAATGTCAGAACTGTGACACTTCACGCTGAGATGCAGTTCTTGTTGTAAGAATAAACAGAGCGCAAGACTCTTCCTCACCTCTGTACACCCCTCCTCCTCCTCCTCCTCCTCCACCAAGGAAGCTCTGCAGTGGGCCGTACTTTGCTGCCTTGGCTGCGAAAACATGAAATTAACCAAAGGTTTGTAAAATGTATAACTTCTGAAGAGCAGAATCAGACATTTATTACTCTTAACATTCAAGAAACCTAAAATAAACTCGTAATGTTGACAAATGTTAAAATCGAAGGAAAAGCATCACTTCTTACTTCAAAGCTGAGTCAGCTGTTCACCACTGAGCCTCAGAGATTTTATTACCTACATTATTATCTATCTTACCTCTAAAATGTTTCTAATTTCTCTGTTTTCATCTATTTATTTAAAACTGCTGCTTTATATTTTAATTGTTGCAGGTAAATTATTATAGACGTATTCTGGGTATTAAAAATGGAGGAAAATCACAGCAGATCTGCCAAAAGTAGTTCAGGTGGAGATGATTTTGTTCACGTCACCAGTCAGGTTTTCCAGTCAGCAACTCTTCACAAAACAAGGACCCCTTCAACATTTCATCTCAATAACCAGCAGCTGCTTTTAACAATGCGAATTACACATTAAGTCAAGTTACTGTCCCCGTTACGGAGCGAAAAGGGGAATTGGAAACACCCTCCGTCAGTCCGTCCATGAATCTTGTGAGCACGATTACTTGTATAATGTGTGAGGTGTCGACTTCCATTCTGGTGTGTGTCTGCGAAAGAAAGGTTCCTTTTGAAACTTGGGTTGCCAGGTCAAAATCCAAGATGACCGCCAACATACCTATATGTAACTAGATGACCCTTATCATTTGAGGAAACTGCTTTTTAGCTTTTATGTTGTTTAAAGTACATCAAAGTTCATGCTCAATAATCCAGGCCAAAAAATTTAACAAAGTTCAGTCAGGTCCTCTGGACTTTTTTTTTTTTAAAGGTTTCATCCAAAGGACTTCATCAGTCCAAGGAGCCACAACAAACTCAGTGCCACAAGAAGCACACTCACACACTGGGCCAACCAGTTTGATGGTGATAAGATGGTTTCTGGAGTCCGCCCTCTCCCCCGTTGACAGCCATAGGCAAAGTGGTTCAGAACATCAACATGTTTGATGTTTTCATCATACATCCTGATGAAGTCCTTTGGATGAAGGATGAAACGTTTCAACAACAACCCCCCCCCCCCCAAAAAAAAGTCCAGATTACGTGACTTAACTTTGTTGGGATAAAAGTTTAGTTATCTCAAATGATTTTGGTGACCTGTAGGGTGGGCAAAGGTTAATCTATGGTGGCCAAGGTCAACAAACATCTCAAGAATCTTGCTTTCAATGAAACCACCATAAAGATCATCCATGCAGTCTGATCTGACAAGCACAAATTCAATTTTTATCCAAACAACTTGTTTCCATCCTCTCCTGACTAACAGAATTCATATTAGATGAATCAGTAAACGAGCTGAGAATAAACAGGTTCTTGCTCGTACAAGAAACTTATGAGGTTGTGCTTTTTGGATGCGGTGTGACTTTTTGGTACCTTGTTGGGGAGTCAGCGGGGCGGGCACATATCCACCTAAAACAGCATCAAAAACAGGTCACACGGGTGCCACAAATTAAATTGAACAAGATCTGTCATAGAAGTGGATTCATTTTTCCTGACCAGGAAGTGGAAACAAAATGCCAACTTTAAGCAGTTAATCACTAAAACACTAAAACACTATTTCAATTAGCAGATTTATAATTTAGGAGTGTCCTCATGTAAAAACACTGACTTTTTTACTTTTAGGACATAACCCACACTTGTCGTGTTACTGTTTGTCTTTAACCTCTTCCTTCTAAAGTTGCATTATATTATTTTATCATGTTTTAGGTTGATGTATGGCACAACCATCACTGCCAAAAGGAAACTAGAGAAGACTGATACAGTAGTCAAGAATAGACGTGTACAGAATATTACATAATGACAGTCGCAAAAAGTCCTCAGCAAAAGAAAAATGTGACTTTTATTTTTGTCAGGATAAAAAAACAAAAACATGTTAAACTTATGGATATAAATATTGTACCTGGATAGAGCTGTTGAGGATATCCTCCCATATAACCAGGAGCCACACCTGTGAATTTAAAAAATAAACAAGTTAAAATATAATCATTGTGGAGATTTTAAAAATTCACTGAATGTCAGAGGGACAACTTGATGAGTGGATCAACGACTGACTGAAAAAACACGTGTCATTCATTCAACCTTTATTTATACAGGTTAATCCCAATGAGCCTCGGGGACTCATTTACAAGAGAGACCTGATTTTAACAAAGAGTGATGACAACAGCAACAATAAACAATCATAAAGGATGCGTACAAGTGGAGATTTTTTTTTTTAAATTAATTAATTAATTAATTTTTGTTTGTTTTGTTGTTCGAGGGTATGCACTAAAACCAAATGGGTTATTTTGATCAAACTGATAACACAACCCTGCTGAGTTCAAAGTACCCAGAGCTGACTTGGTCCTATTTGACCCAACTCTGGGTTACAAATGAGCTTGTTTTAAAGGCAGTGCATACACATTATAAATGTCATCAAGTAATTACAACATAATCAGTAACAACTTATAGAAGCAACCATGCAGTTAACTTCATTATTCCAACTACAGAATTGACAATCTGCTCATTCTTCTGGTTAAACCATCTGCAGCAGTGTTTATCTCAGTTGGACATACAGTAAATTTTGTCCACAGAGACGAGATTAGAACCGTGACCTTTAGTGACGAGCCTGTCC